TCTTTTGCAGCAGCAGAAAGAATTTTCTTTCAACTAAATAATATTAAAGTTTTATTGTTAAATGTATACCTAATAGTTCTGGTACATGTTACTTAAAAATATTATCTGTTATGATTTTATTACCTTTTGGTTCAAAATTCTATTACGAAAAATTTAATTGGTGTGGCAACACTGCTCTCAATAACTCATGCAATTTTGAATACACACAGCTGAGAAAATGAGTAAAATATTAAAAAATACGTTTAGATTTTAGATTATTCCTTTTTAAGATTTCTTATTACTAAGAATAATGAATTTGATTTGTTTTAAAGTCTCAAGAAAGAGTTGTCAAATTGTTCAACAGACTGCGTTTTAAAAGAACGTTCATGTGAATCAGGTGTACCTATTTAGTTCCAGTGAAACTAGTGAAAGTGAAGACAAATATATTTGTGAATTTGCTTTTGCTTTGCAAAATGATAATAGACAGTTCTTTCGATGTCGATGTCTTCGGCCCAAGACTCAACTCATGCGAAAAAGGTATGTATAAAAATGGAATTTTTCTTACGAAATCCGAGGCTCTGCTCCAGTTTCCATTATAATTGACTCCTTGACGAAGTTTAGATTCTTTTAGAATATGAATTTAATGGGAATTTCCTATTTTTAAATTTTTTTTTTACTTTATTTAAGGTAATTACTTCTGGAAATCTTTCTTTTTCAAATCTTTTTCGGAGATTATTGATTTCCGCTCTTCAACTTTTTTCGTTGTCTTGGTGACCATTTTCTTATTTATAAAATACGGTTTTTTTGACTTTTAAATTTAATTACTTGTTCTAAATTTTGTACATCTAGACATTATCTTTCCTTAGAATTTTTACATTTTTTTTATTTTAATAGGTACCTGTTTTCTTTGTTTACTTCCTCATTATTTAGTTCTTATATTAAATTTATTCTTAAATTTCATTGGATTGATTTGCTGAATTAAATATTCCTATTCATGTTTCTCCAGAATATTGAATATCAATACCTAGAAGACCTAACTACATTCTAGCAGGTAAACTTGTTATATATTACCGAATATATTATTTTCTTTTACATAAATAACTTGTTTAACTTAACGCTTACTTAAAATAACATCACATAATGCCCCCCATGTTATTATAAAAAAAATATATGTATTTTTTATATATCGCACGTCCTCTAAAAAACTGTCATAACACAAAAAAATCTGTTTTGAGAAAAATGCCTTTTAATATTTGTTTTATTTTACTAATGCTACTGTGACGCTGATATTATTCATTATTAGCTTTAAACCTTATTAGTTAATGTTAAATTTATTTACTTATGGGAGGCTTATAAAAAATATATTAATTCATGTCAAGAATAATTATTTTTTTCGTTCAAAATGGAAAATGTCATAAAATACGACACTTTTCTACATTAAACGTAAAATTATTTTATGTAATGAAACAAAATGATACATATTAATAATAATATAATAATAATACTCACCCCCAATTCACCCCCTTACGAGTGAATTTAAACCCCTGAAGCCGAAGCTTGTATAGGGAAAAGGAACGGCTATTATTATTATTTGCCGTGGCGCTCCGGGACGACTTAAAGATGACATAATTAACAGTGGTTTATTCAATTGTTTGAGAATTTTTTCAATGTTTTATAACAGTTCTCACATTAAAACATTAAAACTAAGGTTTACTGGTATCAAAATCAAATAAAACTCAACTTTGTCAAAATTGAACATTAAAGTAACTAAAACAAATTTTACTTAAATAACTACAATTTAAATCGTATAAAATGAATACGTACAAACTAATATTATTTAAATCTTTTAGGTATATTAATTATACTTTTACAATATCACTTTAAGGAAAAATAATAATAAATCTACTCTTATTAAACATAATCAGACTCTAGCAGCCTTAAATCTAACAGTCTTAACAATGTTGTACTATGTATTATAAGTATTATTATTGTTGATATAAAATTACAAATTTATGTAAAATGTACCATAAAAGTTTGGGATGTGGTTATTCTCTACCAAACTTAAAAGGTCTCTCTTCTTGTTCTCTTTTATTTTAGGTCTACATTTCTAAGCTTTTTTAATTGAAATGGTTTGAAAATTCATTATTTTTCGAGTAATCTCGACTTCAGTGAATTCGTTATCTTTATAGGAATTCTTATAAAATACTTTTGTTGATTCGCCCTGAATCACCTTGAAAATCTTGATTTCGGAAGTCTTCAAATTTTTGGTATTAAAACCAATATCTTCTGCTAAATTTTTCATCGAAAAAAAATCTTTAAAACTCATTTCATTTACATTGAATGGTTTACCCCTTTTTTTGGCACTTCGTATTATCAATGCATATTGGCTTGGAACATAGATGGGACCAGATCTGAGGTTCCTCTTTATAGCTTATTCGATTGTAGAATGTACAGCATCTCCCTCGTTTTGAGTATGACCCGTGATAAGATATTTGTGGGTTATTGATTTAATTTTGGGGTACTTCATTAAGGCAAACATGTACATAGAAAAAATAAATCGATTTTTTTGCTGTCCGCAGCAATTGTCTGAAAAAAATACCAATTCAATACCTGAACCATTGTAGTCTGTCATTATTTTGTCAATAAAATTTAGAACGCAAGAGCCAATCTCATCAGCTCCTCGGTTAGCCTCACCTTCATGCCACAGGTAACATTCGGTATTATCAGATCTAAGTTCACTTATTTATAGTAAAATTTAAGGTATTAAGTTTTGATTTGTAGTAAAATATTGAAACGTCTCCTTTTGGTGTTTGAAGAACAGCTTGTAGATCATAAACGGCTACAATATAATCACTACCCACTTTGGTTTTATCGTTCTCTTTTTCAAGTCTGGAGAGATCTTTTTCCTCTAAGTGCGTCGTATACTTCTGACATAATTTCTCTTTTTCTGCATCATCTGCATTTTCGTAACTGACACACAACTCGCAACGGTCTTTTTTAGGAATAAAGAAACTTATATTAAACTCCTGATTGAAAATTTTAGAGTACATCTCATAGTGTGCTGCTTGAATCCCTTGCTCTATACACTGTTTCTTGTAGTCTGCATGTAAGTCGGCAATACATTTACCACCATCGATGAATTGCCGGCTAGAATTTTTCCTAATGTAGTGACTTTCTATACGTGGTATAGAATTGATATGGTTTCTAATTGATTCTTTAATCGACTCATCTACTTTTCGATGATGACCATGTTTACCTCTTTTGTCCAAATCAACAAAACCTAGTTCCCTCTTATTAAATTCACATCCAATGTAGCCATAAAAAATTTCTTGCACACTCGTATGTCAACGCTATTAACATGAAAATAAAATGCATTATTATAATTCCGAGGTTTTTCTTTCCCAGAGAAACGAAATGCAGGGACAATAGGTTTGGTAGAGTTATTTATAAAATTTCTTTGTAGGGAAATATCACCTAATTCCCAATATTTAGCGAATATTTTTTTTCTATTGTCTTCGTTTACCTTAGAAGTACATTTCATTTTGCATTTATCACCACAGGGGGGTTTCAAAGCTCGTGCTGGAATATTTTTTTTTTTTTGATCTAGACACATAAGACTGGCCAGTATTGCGCAATTTTTTTGCTTTGTTAGTCAGCCACTCATCGACTCTTGCAAGACGTTTTCTCCCTTTCTTTATAATTCTAGTGTCTTCTTCAATCAAACTAACATTGTGTTCAATTATATTCTCTTGATTTTTGGTATATTTTTAAGGTCGTTTTGTTTAATAATTTCATTTTCTTCATCGTTATTCATATTTTCAGCAGCTGGTTGGATTGACAGTTCTACTAATACTTTAGGATTATTATTGTTTGCTATTTGAAAAGAAGAATCTGTTGATCTAGAAGAACTCGATGAGGTGCTAGAAGATTTGCTGGAAGAACTTGAGTTGTAGCTAGGATCTTTCACAGAGTCATCGTCATCTTCCGAGTAAGAATCATAGGATGTTATAATTCTATCTGTCCGTTGATTTTCAGGGTAATAACTACAATTGGCCATCGGCTCAGTCTCCAGCCAAGCTTCAGGAGTTACATTAACTACAGGAATTTCTGAAATAGATAATATTTTAAATCTTTATCATTTTGTGTATCACGTGTTTTCGAATCATTGTTTATCGAGCACTATATTTTCTGCTCTATTTCTAAATTTACCTTTACTTAAGTACTAATGAAATTGTTTGTATAAAAGAAAGTGTTTCAAAATCAAAAAATAACACTGTCCGTTGATTTTGTCATAATAAAGAATTAAATAAACAACATGAAAAAATTTACCTAAACTTTTATTTGCAAAATTTTCTTTTATGGGTTCAACTACTGCACTAGCTTGGTTATTTATAAAAAAAATATAGTTATTTGTCAACGAAAGTCTGAAAAAATTAAATAAAACTTATTACTTCTGTTTAAAAACTTACCTGTGCGGTTATTACAATAATTTTCTTTTTCTTCATTCCAATGTGCTAGTTCTACCAATTTTTGCCACGACCTTTAAATTTGTCAGCCATTTTTGAATCCTTAAATAAAATATCACAGAATAACAATCTTGTTTCATTAAAACAATTAAATACTGTACATTTAAAACTGTCTTAATCAAAAAAATCTGCCAATGATTCGGATTAATATAGTCATAAGACGTAATGTGATATTATTATATTCACTATTTATATTAAATTATAAAAATAGATTTGTAAAAAATAGTCATATCATATTTACGGCTATTTTCTGTTACCCATATAAATGAAATTTTAAAAAATAAAAACAATAAAGAACCACAAGATAGGTTACAACTATTTTCTCTTCAGTAAAATTGTAAACAAAAGCTGCAGTTGGGTAAAATAGTATCATAACATGTGATATGACTCTTTTTTAGAATGTAAAATAAAATAATTTCAAATTATAACTGTAGAAAACAGAAGTTTATTGTTTTACGGCACTTTTCTGCTATTTTAAATACATTTAGTTCAAAAAAACTTACCTAAATTATAGTTGTAAGACAACTTATGACTTTTTTTAGGAGCTTCAACACACGTATACTTCACACAAACACTGATACGACACTGTTGTGGATCCGAGAGCGGGCAATCTTGCTCCCTGAAAAACTGACCCTTTCTCCATCTAGCGACTGTTTTTTATGTTAGAATTATGGCGGTTTTTTTGAATTGTGGATAATTAAAAACTGAATAGCATGGCATATAATATCTAAAAAATTACTTTTTTGTGTTATGACAGTTTTTTAGAGGATGTGCGATATAGGTAAATAACATTATTTATCATACAAATGATTAATTAATTACTATTTGCAACACTTATCATTATTAGGTACCTATTATATAAATAAAGGTATATAGTTTCTTTTTATTTAATGTCAAATCAGGCTAATATGTTTTCAATGTCATTATTTGCATAGATTAAATCAACAAGGTATATTCTTTTAATCAGTCTGCTTTCTATTTCCGATAACTTATAAGTATTATTACCAATTA